TTAAACAATAAATGAGTATTTTCATTTTTAACTAGGATTTCATGTTTATATATGTACATAAAAATATTTAATTTTTTTTTTTTCATAAATATATTTTATTTTCAAGTTTATGTTGCCGTACTTTTGTTTATTGTGCCAAATAAACCGTGGGGTCAGCAGCATGAACTTTGTACGTTTTCAGTAAACTATCTCACCCCTGTGGGGGTCACTCTTGTCCAGCCCAGCGCGGGTGCATTTGAACATTACTGTAGATATGATAGTAAGAAAGCTTTTCAGTACTTGAATATAATTTCTTTGAACTTTCAAACAAGTTTATTTCAACATATATCCGTGTATGTTGTTTCACTATAGAGACAAAACTAATTGCCACTACTAACAAATGTATGTAACAGTTTATAGTACAGGTCGTTTCAATAAACACCGCCTGAGCCTGACCCCTTGTTACTTGATACATCCTATTAAAAGAGATTAACAAACGATACAGACACCATAAATGACAAAGAAAATTGCTTTACAGCACTTAAAAGATTAGTCCTGGTCACATTCCTCTCATTATAGGCAAGATTTATGTTGGAATTCGAGACTTTAGCTCTTCAGTGTATTGAGACCCCAACACAAGAAACCCTTAGCAAACAACCATCAATAGAAGAAGTCTGAAATATGAGGGAGAGTAGGGCAGATAGGCCACAATGTAGTGACCAATGGTGAAAAACAACCATTTATACTGATACACAGATAAAGAGGAAGGACAGACAGAATGGGGAATAAGAAATGCTACCTGAGTGGAAGACCGATCCTTCTGGCAAGGGTCCAGACAAAATCCATGCAAAAAGCTGGAGTGTATATACAGATGTATGAAACCAGTGTACGTCTGATCCGGAAAGGTTAAAGAGGAACTCCAACAATGGTGTTGTCTCTGCTTAGTCACCAGGCAATGTCTGTTTGCAGGGAGAAAGGAAGGGAAAAAGAGAATCCAGGGAATCTCTGGCAAGGTCCCATTGATTGTGTACAAGCCACTGAAGAGATCTCATATGGGCCCAACCAAGGGGAATAAGAATTTCCAAAGATGCCCAAGTCGCTGAAAGAGATATAACCTCTCATGCGGGTAGAGTAGGAAAGGATTGAGCCTTTTGAACTGCTAGCTCCATGGACTGAGGATGAACTGGAGATGGTTGGGCTCAACTGAGGAAGGAGTTGAAATAGACCTAAAGATAGACCAGATAAAGACTTCTATACCTTGACCAACCAACTAAAACATGCAGCTTCTTGGAGAAGTAACTGAGTGTGGCAGGAAGCTACAGCCCATGATAGACCTATAAGAAGCCAATGATCCATGTAATGATGTAACTGTAGACCCTGAGAGTGGATCCATCTGGCAAAAGCTTTGACCAACTGACAAAAAAAAACAAAAAATGTAGGGGGCCCAGGAAAGGCCAAATGAAAGAGCTTGGAATTGATAGACCCAATTCTCGTGGACAAATCAAAGAAACTGATGAGATGCTGGGATATGGGAATGTAAAGGTAAGCATCAGACACATCAAACTTTGACATCCACAAACCTGGAGTAAATACTCATTAAAGAGACAAAAATAAATCCATGGTGAAACAAAATGTCTAAAAATCGATTCAGACTAGAAAGATTGATGATAAGTCACTAGTCCCCATCTTTTAGGAATAACAAATAACTGGGAATAGAACTAGGAACCAGCATGAGCCATGGATTCTACAGCACTCTTGGAAAGAAGGTCCTGAACTGCCTCTGACAGGATATGGGATCTCCTGGGGAAGGAAACTGAGAAGGGAAGTAAAGGAGAAAGAGTTTGAAAATGAAGGGAGAGTCCTTCTGATAAAACTTGCAGCACCAGATGCAAGTCCTCCAAATGTGGACAAAATTGTACAACCTGACCCCCACAGGTCCTGTACCTACCAGGTAGTCATCAAAACTGCGTACTGTGAATGGGTCAGCAGTGAAAAATATGACGATGTGACTCAGAACTTGGGTACAATTTACCGGCAAGGGAACAGAAGGGAAACAGGAATATATGCAAAAAGAGCTGAATTATCCTGGTCCAAACTCAAAACTGGGATTAAAGAATAGAAAAAAGGAATCGAATCCCAATGATAGGCCAAAGAATGAGCACCTGAAATGAAGTGGGGGGGACTATTTTTGGCATGCTAATCTGCAAACGTAATTGCTCAACAAAATGCTCAGCATGAACCCCAGATATCAGGCAAGGGAGGAGGCAAAATATTAAGGAGATGGTGTGTCATGTAACAAAGAAGGATATGGTTCATACAGCCCAGGAGATAAGAACAAAATGTAACAAACCTGTGTAACTTTTCGGAGTCAATTCATACTTTAAAAAGTTAATTTAAAGAAAATTAATTATGGCTTTTGTAAGTAAATACCATGTAATAGAATAGTGGGGAACAAGAAATATGTCAAATTTCTGTTATTCTAGTACTTACTTTATGTGGCAACTGGGGAGAAGAGACAGGGCTGGTTTGTGTTGAGACAGATACACCTGCAGACTTGGTGGATTGAGGAAGTACTTCTTGCATCTACAGTCAGAAATTTTAATACATTCTTAATTTGTGTACAGTTAGGATAATCTTTAGGTATTGTAAGAAAAATCAAATAATTATTATAAAATAATCTATATAAATCAACATGTAAAATAATTTATATAAATCAACATGTGTAAAATACTGTTATATTAATAATAACTTGTCACTTACTATTCCTTATGTAATTCTTTAAAAAAATACTTCCTAGGCTTTGCAGATCACTGGTTTTCTTATTATTTTTGATAATCTTTAATTAGTTAGATGTCTGAAAATACAAGCGCATATAATAAGTTATTGCTTATAAAAAACATTTTATATACAGCCTTTATAAAAACAACAAATCTTAACAGTAGTAGGCCATGAGTATAAAATTAAATCACATATTTCATTTCAGTTATACATACCAAACCCATAACACTCCTCTTTTTCAGCATGATTTATTTAACTTGCAAGTTGCATAAAACGTTACATGATGATGATTTTATATATCTGTTTGTAAATACAGTACTCCCTGGTGGACATGACACCTCCCAATAACAACTTCCTTTTAAATATGACTCTTATTTTTTGCACGGAATGATTTTACATTGATCTCACCTCCCACAAACGACTTCCTGACAAAAGTGACATAAGACCATGATTTTTGGGCAGAAGGTTGAATAACAAATTCTCTATAACGATTTTTCTTCATGTCGATAATGTAATTTACAGAGACACATGAATACAGTGTATACAGTATGGAACAAAGAGACCACACGACTGGAGATTACTTCGCAACTTAGTATATGTATCTTGGTACCCTGTGGTGTTCATGTCAAGCTCCTTGGTATATACACATAGGTATTTTGATTTAAAAACTTTCAGGTCCTGAAAGGTAACCAGGGGCAGTCAGAAACTGTTGTTTTTCTTTGCCCCCGCTTGTGAAATTAAGGTTCATTCTTTTAGTGAACGTTGTACATTTTGAGCTAGTGGTCAAGACAATAAATAACTTGATTAGGGCTTACTAGCAGGGTGTGAAGATTATTAACTCACAAGTTGTTGAGTGACAGACTCAACTAATCTGTGCAGTAAGCATGGCTAATAAAATGCCTCAAAGCGTCCAGGGAAACTGCAAATATCTCAAGCTAAGTACAGGAAGTTGCTGTGAAGAAAAAGAAGGATTGAAGTGTTGATACAGAAATGTGACGTGGACATTGATATAAACCAAATTTGTGACTAAAGCAACAAAATAAATGAAACATGGAAATTAGGGAATTTTTAGTCAACTTGAAATTGTTTTAATACAAATATTACATCTTATGTAGTATTTGTATTCAGAAAGATTACCTTATTAGGTATTGGCTAGAGCCTAGCAATAACTTAGTTCAGATATTTATTCTTATTTCTTTACTGGTTCTTTTAAATTCATGGAATGGTCCTTTTTCAGAGGTGGAATCAAAGTATACAAGTTTCCAGGTGAAATTTTGGTTTAGGGTGAGGCTGTTTTGTTCAATTAAGATACGACTTTTTATTAAATAAATTTTGTGTCAGTTTGTAATATTTTATATGTATGTAATAATAATGTGATACATGGATGTTTATGAAATAAATTATTTTACATAAAACACAAATAAAACAATTTTAAGTTATCTTTATTGAACTGCTATCCATCATAACTATTATTATACAGTGTACCAATATGCTACATTATCTGACAACCTATACAGTATATAAACCATTATGCTCAACACCTGGGAATAGCAACTGGCACAATTTGAACTCGGTCTTTCATTATCTGGTTACTGATCCTTTGAATAACGACTTCCTGTCAGATGCAACTTTTTTATCATGGCAGATAGGTCAGTCATATCTAAGAAGGACTACTGTATAAAAACTCAAAACTGAAAATTTTTCTACAATGAAAAAACATTTCATCTCTAGACAAAGCACTTAGAAAGGCAATCCAGCACATTTAAGTAATTTAAGGTCTGTAGCTTTCATGCACTAAGTCCATACCTGACAGCGAAGTGATCCAGTGAAATCACCTCCATTATAAAAAATAAGATCAGTGTCTGGTACTTCTCTCTGTAGCACATATCGAGGAAATAAAAAAAAAACCTACTTTTGATAATGAAAATGAGAAAAATTAGTATTTCTAAACAAATTAATACTTACAAGTCCTTCAACTACAGTTTGGGTTCCAACTGATTCTTTTCTGACATCTACTTTTTCTTCATCTGGTACTTCTGTGTTTTGTTTAAGAGTCTGAGAAAAAAAAAAGAAGGGGTCATTTCAACTCTTTCTGGAACACTAGATGAAAACAAGCAAAATTTTCTTACTTTTAGTTACTTACAATGTAGATAATCACACTACAGAGGTGGAGTAAATTATAATAAAATGATCTTGGAGCCACACTATGTACTTACAATTCATGCTGCTACAACCAGACATGCTATATCTGACAGCTGTGTACCTTGACAACAGCCCTGTAATGAAGCCAATGGGGTGTGACACCCAATGACAGGGGCTCCATAGAGGCACACCTGTGGGAGATCACATCTCAGTTTGTCTAAATTACGCTCTTCAACACAGAGGAAAGGAGGAACAGCCAAATGACCCACATGTGTCATAGGGATCAGAAGAATAAGAACATGGTCCTCTGTGCATTTGCACACAAGAGGTCAGAAAGCCAATATGTATAGCATGGTTGGAGTACATTCAGACGTACCTTTTTTGCTCAACTCAACTATCAGACTCTATTGGACTGACATGAGCTACAGGAGAAAGGCATAATGTTCATGCCATAGAGATAAGTATAGTGTGTGCACACCTGAACTCAACTGAACAGACATTGGCTGCAGGAGGAGGGCATGGCATCATAATTCATGTTTGTTTCAACTCTATTGAATAGCCACAGTATTGTAATGGGCACTCACCTCAATTATACTGCACAGACTCTGGCTGCAGGAAGAGAACATAGCATCATAGAGTGCACTCACCTCAACTCAACTGAACAGACTCAGGCCACAGGAAGAGGGCATAAGTGGCATCTGTTATAAGTAAAGCTATATGAGGGGTGTCACCACCATATTAGTACTTAATTGTATACCATCCCTTTGTACGAGTCCAATCAGTGAGGATTTTCTATGGTCCACCACCCAAGCAGCTAGGAACTAGTAAGTAGCAAAGGGTCTCCTGTACTTTACTCAGTGAAAAGGCATGGATTTGTGGATGGGAGACCCAAAGAAAATGCCTGGATCTCTGTTTGTCCTTTAGTCCAGAAAGATCTTTTACTGACTTTGTAAAGCCAAGAAGCATGAACCAGGGAAGTGGGCAGAATATGTTCCTGGTGTTGACTTTTTCCATGATAGTCCACAGAGTACGTATGGTCTGGATTGGACAAAAGGTAAGTTATATAGATATACCATGAGGATACTTCAAGTGATCTTGCGGAACACCCCATCTCACAGTGGGCATATATGGAGCAGGGAAGACAAAATAAGCACTTTGTTATCCTGACTTAATGCAGAGTTTGAGAAATAAGTGGACCACAGAAGGCACAACTAACCATCTGGCAGGATCCTAAAAATGCAAGTGGGACTCTGAAAGAGAAATAGCATGTATTCTTCTAAAGAATTGTAGAATGACAGAAGAATGTTAATCAGAGGATGTCAATCAAGATGAACATGCCAAACAGATGAAGTAATGGACTCAATCAGTAAATGAAGAAGGAAAGTGGTCTGTGAATAGGAATACTGAACAGCCCAACAAGTCATGGGAGCTGATATGGGTCTGAATGATCCAACAGGTGAGATGCATCACTTATGGATTTCTTTGCTATTGAACTGTTTAAACTGGCACTTGGAAACTGTCATTTTTACACAAAAATTAGGATTAAGGAAAGCAGAAAACTAGGTGTGCTTTGGGGATGTCAGTTTTGCGAAAGAGTCTTTGCAATGAAAACCGCACTGTGTGTCTACTTTTATGATGCACTGTTTTCAGACATAGTGATATGGACTGAGACGGTGTGGCCCCAAAATCATTTTTATATAGCATACAAAACCCCTGTATTACATTTGCTGCATTACTTACTGAATTAATTTTTAATACTCATCTATATGGGTAGCTTATTTTAACTAACCATCTGGCAGGATCCTAAAAATGCAAGTGGGACTCTGAAAGAGAAATAGCATGTATTCTTCTAAAGAATTGTAGAATGACAGAAGAATGTTAATCAGAGGATGTCAATCAAGATGAACATGCCAAACAGATGAAGTAATGGACTCAATCAGTAAATGAAGAAGGAAAGTGGTCTGTGAATAGGAATACTGAACAGCCCAACAAGTCATGGGAGCTGATATGGGTCTGAATGATCCAACAGGTGAGATGCATCACTTATGGATTTCTTTGCTATTGAACTGTTTAAACTGGCACTTGGAAACTGTCATTTTTACACAAAAATTGGATTAAGGAAAGCAGAAAACTGGTGTGCTTTGGGAATGTCAGTTTTGCGAAAGAGTCTTTTGCAATGAAAACCGCACTGTGTGTCTACTTTTATGATGCACTGTTTTCAGACATAGTGATATGGACTGAGACGGTGTGGCCCCAAAATCATTTTTATATAGCATACAAAACCCCTGTATTACATTTGCTGCATTACTTACTGAATTAATTTTTAATACTCATCTATATGGGTAGCTTATTTTGTTCCCTAGTTATTAATAAATAGTACTTTTTTTAAAATGAGAACTAAACATTTCAAAAATTGTGGTAATTTTATTTTGAGTGATGTATTTAAGATAAAGAAACAGGTAAGGAAAAAAAAAGGGATATCACAGGAGTGTTTAATATGGAAAAAAATATATGACTATCTCTATGGTCAAACTCCTAATATTAAGTATTTTAGATTTACAATACTCTCAAGAAAACATGAAAAAGTAAAAAAAAAGTATTTTATTTGAAAATACAAACCAAGTATGTTACATAATTATGCTACACTTTAGGTATTACAGCATTTGTATGAAAAAAATATATACAAAAGTAAAATAAAAATTTTAAACAGAAGTGTGCTTTCTTTTGTTACACAAAAGAATATCTAATTAATATGCCCAGAAAGTTTTTATTAATAGTATACAATATATTAATACACAAAGTAATGTTAAATACATGGGGATCTGTGCAACAATGTTACATTGTTTCCTGGCTTAAACTGTTGCAGTAAAGAAATTAAAAAAATTACACATGCTTACATAAAACAACATGGATGTTACCTGAAGTTTAGCCAGAGGAATGATGTCACAGTTTTCTGGTCTGTGCCAGACTGTTTTCTGGCTTGAAGCATTGTAGTAATAAAACTTAGAGGTGTTCTGATCAAATAATTCCCACCACTGATTATCATCTGTCTTTTTACTGGAAAAATAAAATAATAGATTGTGAAAGTAAAATAATATCTCATGTATGTTCAGATAAATTTTAGGATGTTGTTGTTGCTATGGATAAAGAAAAAAATTCATCATTTTACTTAAAACTTTATTCTTCTTCAGAAGTTCTGATTAAACTCACTTTTAAATATTTCTGATTAAGCTTACTTCTTCTTAGGTGGTTCTGACTAAACTCATTTCTTCTTGGGTGGCTCTGTGTAAACTCTCTTCTGTGTGAGTAGTTCTGATTAAGTTCACTTCTGTTTGAGTGGTTCTGACTAAACTTACTTTTACTTGAATAGTTCTGATTAAACTGATTTTGTTTCGAGTAGTTTTTTACTAAACTCACTTTTCTAAAATACATCTGATTAAATTGACTTCATGAGTAGTTCTGACTAAATTCACTTCTTGAGTAGTTCTCATTTAACTCACTTATTCAGTAGCTCTGATTAAAACTCTGTGGATGGGCTTGGTCATTTTTATCAACCATCATGTAACCTTGAAACTATACATATTGTAACTTTTAATGTTCTAAATTTATCTTCCCATACTTTGGCAAGCTTTTAGTAAACATTATAAGTCATTTTGTATAAAAAAATCAGATTTTTTGAATTACCTTTACTAAAGATCTGTCTATGATTTCATGGAATCAGTCTGAGCATTTACAGCACACAAGACCAGCATTCAAAGTTGGTCAAAAGTTATAGAACTGATAATTTATACTGGCAAATTTGTGGATGTGTAATTTAAGTAACACTGAGCATATTGACAATTAGGGATTTATATTATCATTTTAAAACCATTTTCATTTGTAAATGAAAATAATATTCACATAATTTAGTTATCAAACTTAATACCTCGTGATACTTACATAAAACTAGATATTGAAAACTGAAAAAGGTAAAACATTTTTTTATTTTGAATTTGTAAAAAGTAAGATCTTAGAAGATCTTACACTCCTGAATGTCCAAACACTGGAGTATATAGTTACACCAATCTTTGTCTTTGCTGGAGTGTTCAGTGAAGCTGTTTCACTGGAAATTATAACCCAGCTCTAGTCACAGCAATTCTACAGCCAGTTTTTTCGTGCATTTTTGAAGAATCCTATAAATTACATTATTTCTGGGCAGCATAATCTGAATATATGATCTCCCAGAGCAAGATCATTGTTATTTCCATCACATACAAGATTCCAACTATAGATTTGTATATGTGATTGCAGAATATCTGTTTTTTGAACAATAACATAAAACCAAGAAAAAAAACCCATCAACACCAAATGAAAACTAACTATATACACAGTTATATAATAACAGAATAATCAAAGTAAAATTAAATTTGGTAAAAAGATAAATGCAAATTGTATAGTATACCATAATCAATGGTATAAGCTGCCAAATAAAAAGATAATAAAAGAATTTTAAAAATTATTAAACAAATCTTGAACAATGAATAAAGTAAAAGTGGAGTAAAGGATAGTTATTTTATCCATTGCTCTACAAAGCTGGCCATTAAGTCTCTCTGAACACAAACAAAAATGTGCTTCCTAGAGGTTAAAGATCAAAGAATGTTGTTTACTTTCTTGTTTGTAGTGCTGTATGCTTCATCATTTTAACTTTCATTTTTGTAATTCGTTATTGTTTGTTCAATTTCGCATAAAGCTACTTGAAGGTTATCTATGCTAACCATCCCTAATTTTGAAGTGATAGACTAGAGGGAAGACAACTAGTCAACACCATCTGCCACCAACTCTTTGTGGGCTACTCTAATTGAATAGTGGAATTTCAATGTTACTCTTATAATGCATCCATGGGCACAAAGTACAGAGTTCTGTTTGTTTACTGTAATGACATGGGAACATCAGATCCACAGTCTGGCAAGCTAACAACTGGGTCACGTCTTTTCTTTTTATTAGAACATTACACAAAGCCTGCATAATTGTATAACAGCAAGACATAAGTTCTGAAATAACACATTTGAATCAGACAGAACTACATAGACAGAACTACCTGATGTTCATGTTCATATCAGGAAAAAAGACATAAGGGGATGAGATCCAAACCTGGCTCCCTATATGACTTCCCTCAGGCCCTAAGGATATATGCAAAGTTTGATGACAATAGATCCAGCAGTTCATCAGTTATGAGCAGATACATGCTTTTGTCAAATAATGGTTTAGATAATGAAAAGATAGCGGTTTTCTCTCCAATATCCCCTTATGTGAATAATTTAGTTTTTTATTTACAAAAACAGTTATGTTTTGAGCAAAAATATGTTCTCTAAAACTTTTTATGTCTTTCATCTTCCATATTTACATTTTACATATACAGTCACAGACATTGGATCTATAGGTTAGTACCTTTAGACCTTTAACTTACTTGATATCTATGCATAGGCTATAAAAGGTGGAATGGCCTCACACTTTGTTAATAAAAAACAATCCATTGTGACAATCCTTAATAAGTTTTTTTGTGGTATTTGAGTATTTTGATCAGAAAACTTGATATTTAACAAAAAACTCTTTTCTTTTTTTGTTTTTTCATTAACAAAATACATGTTTATTGTGAGTTTACAAAAATATGTATAAACGTATGATCATTAGAGTGCTGATATATGGGCTAGAAAGGAATGACAATAAATACAGGATGATTACATCTACATTACTATCATTGTTTATACAGTGGATGGGTCAGAAGGATCGACCAGTCTCATGGTTCACAACACACGCCTCAGACAATTTATGTCTTAATTATGAACAAACTTGTTACCATTCTGCTTTATAAGTACTGTTGCGTCATCGAGGTCACGTGACTGGTGTGGAGCCCTCTATTTTCTAGAACTATCTTTTTTTTTTCATGAATGCTCTAGTATTTGCTAGCTAGGGTAGGCGGGTATATAAAAGAGGGGATTGTAATGTGTGCATAGATAGTGAGTAATTGAACTGCAGTCAGAGAGCACGAGAGACGTTACAGCGTTTGTTTAGCGTGATTCTTGAAGTTGAGTGTATCGGTAAAGTTGTATTCGGAAAGAA